GTACGTTAAGTGTAGCAGCCTTACGTAGGTTACGTGTGGCAGCCTTACGTAGGTTACGTATAGCAGCCTTACGTGGGTTACGTGTAGCAGCCTTACGTAAGTTACGTATAGCAGCTTTACGTAGATTACGTGTAGCAGCCTTACGTAAGTTACGTATAGCAGCTTTAAGTACGTTAATTCTTTCTGTACAATATTTACTAATCAGATTTACTAATCAAATTTACTAATCAGATTACGTACGGTAAAGCACGTGCTATAGCCGAGCTATAGCCGAGCTATAGCCGAATTAAGCACCTATAGCAAAAGGACGTGCAACATGCAAGGTTTCTTTTCGTATAGCATTTATTAATCAAATTTATTAATTAGATTTATGTAGTGCTTACCAGCACTAAGATCAGGAAGAGATTCTGTAAATTAAATAAAGCTTGGTATATTCTATTTAAGAAGCTCGTCAAGATTTATGTACATATACTTAAGAGCTCTAGTATGCTAAAAGCGCTATTAAGCGAGGTCATATAACATATTATATATAGCTTAAGTAGAATTATGCTTATTCCGCATAACACACTTTTTAAATTAGCAGCGTAGCTATTAAACTGCAAGCAAATAGAAAAGAAAAAAAATAAGTGATTAAGCTTTTTAAATTCGATGTAAACAAAAAAGATTATTATCGCAATTTAAACAAATAAATAGCGGTTGTTATTATTAATTGAATGTCAATCAAGAATGCAATTCCTTTTTAAGTCGGTCTTATTACGTAGCGGAAGTCTTTAGCGCCGTTTTTATCGCGTTGCTATATAAATAAAAGCGCGTTCTTTTTTATTATAATAAACACTTAACTTCTATTTATTTATATAATGCTTTTTAAGCAAGTAACTTAGTTTAATAAAATCGTTAAGCGCGGCTAAGGCCGTTTAAAAGTAAGTGCTCTTGATAGATTAATATATTTATACTGACTATTAAAAGAATCTTTTTTCTGCTTTAGCTATTGCTGCTATTGCAGTTGCGGCGGCTGCGGCGGCTATATTACGCATTCTTACTTTCGAAGCTTCGCCCTTTCTTTTAGACCTTTTTATTAAGCGCTTGCTTATATTAACGACCGTCAAGGCTTTGAAATGCATAAGGTGTATTAATAATAAGATTACATCAAGGTTTAATAAAGACTGCTATAATTGCGATACGAGCGTTATTCGCTATCTCCGGTGTACTAAAGGTAGCTATAGCAACTGCACCGCTGCTTTTGCCGTTATTAACACCGCCTTCGATAACTTCGTAAGCGCTAAAAACAATAATGCTATATAAAAAGTTCGCTAAAGTCTTTAAGATGCTATACGATAACAGCTCGCTTTAAATATTGCTTTTTTAAGAAGTGCTGCTAATGGTCCGGGCGGTCTAGCGAATAGAAGTAAAGGTTTTAAAAGTAGTCTCGGTAGCTTTATAAGTTTTGCTCTTGCTCTTAAGACCTTCAATTTGAATGTGGCCTTTATTAAATTGAATAGTCTTGTAGTAGCGAACCGTAATCCGATGACGCGAAGCGCTTCGAGTATATTACCCTTTCGTAAGTCAAGCTCTTTGACTTACGAAATGATTTAATCTAAGCAGCTTCTTTTAACCAGAACTTCCTTTCGGACTTTATATAAAAGCTCTAATCTGCTGCTGTGGCAGCCCTTGCGCTTGCGCCAGCCGCCCTTGTTGCTCCCGTCGCCCCCGTCGCACTTATTGTCGTCGCTCCTTTTGCGCTAATCGTTGCGCTTGCCGCTCCCGCGGCGGCGCCCGCCGTTATTATAACTCTTGCGGAGCGCCGGGCTAAAGTAAAGAGATTGCTAAAAGCTTTAGTCGATCTTTTATTATAAAAAGCGAAAAGTAGAAGCGTATAAAATGAGATAGAATAACGATTAAAATTATTAAATAAATGTTTTCTTTTGAATCACGTGCAAATAAAAAAAAATGAAATGTAATAAGTGAATAGTATATACGTGCTATTAAAGCTTCTCGACTAACGCGCGAGCGTCTTATAAATTTAAGAGCTTGATAAAGCTTTTAAACTTTTGTCGAGTCAAGTTCTTTATAAGACCGTTAGCGTGCATTTCTTTAATAAAAAGATATTGAACTTAAAAGCTCTTTTTGAAGTGCTTTTAGCGCAGCCATATATTATGAATATCGACGTAGCGAAGCTTGGTAAAGATACGCTCTTTTTTATTAGCTATAAGCTTAATTGTTTATTAATTATTATAATAGATTACTTAAAGCGCCGCAAAACGAAAGTGCAGCTTTTTAAAAAACCGTTAGAGCGCTATAATCTCTTTTATTATAAAGGCTATGCTAAGAAGCTCCGCTTTAATAAATAATGTAGTGATTGTATTTTGCTTTAAAGCTTTTTAAAAGATCGCACTCTTAAATAAAAACATAATGTATCTTTGAAAAGATCGCTTTGTCTTTTCGTCATCGGCGTAAGAAGCGTCAAAAGCTATTACTAGCTTTGATTTGCTAAATTAGTTGTATTGAATACTTTTAAAGCGCGAGCTAAATAAATGTCGTAAATATTAGTTTATAGCTCGGAAGTGCTTCGCGCTTAAATTAATATTAAAGTGAAAGAGTTAAAAAGCTGCAAAAGCTATATTTAAGCGTAGTATAATCGCTATATATAACACAGATCCAACCTTCTTTTAATATTCTTTTACTTGCTTCCGCGAAGCTATCTTTTTATTTTTGATTAAGTTATAAAACGGTAATAAAGTTGTTAAGCAGCGTCCGTCCGTGAGTTCGAATTTCTTAGCTATTTTTTCAATATAAGCGTCGTGCATAAGCGTTAGCGTTCTTCGCTAACGGTTTCGAGCGACTCTTATATTAAGAAACTATTTAATATCTTTTATCGCTTCGATCTTATACGCTTTATTAAGACCGTTAATAATCTTTTGCGCTTTAAAAAGATTAAAGTGATAATATATAAGTTGAATATCGTTTATATAAAACGCTATAAAGACCGTTTTATTTAGATTCGTAAAAATACACGGTTCTTTACCGAATAGTATAAGCTTTAATTTATCGAGTGTGCTTATAAAGTCGAAATATTATAAAGCTAGCGAGTCTTTAAGTTTATATAAAGCTTTATCGACTTTTACGAGCATACCTTTTTGCTTAAAACCGTTAAAAAGATAATACGTGATTAAGACGCTGTCCGTATGTCTTATAGCGTTAATAAAAGCGTTAACGACGTCGAACTGTTTTACTTTTAAATCAAATTCGGTTGTTATAACTATTATTATTTTAAACGATTTAATTGCTAGCGTAGCAGCGTAAGTTGAATAGATAATAGATTCGTTTTAAAAGTCGCTTTTAACTATAATTTTCGATTTAAACTTTACGATCTTTCCGGACGAATTAATTTTGTATATAAACACTTACTTAAGAAGTATAAGTTTTAATTTAACTTCGCTCTCGAGAATAACTTTTTAGCAGTTCTTTTTTTTTAGATTATTCAGCTTTATAAGAGCTCCGTCCTTAAACTCTTTATCGTATAAGTATCGTTATAGCTCTTTTTAATAAATAAAAGGTTTTAAATGTTTTCGTTCTTGCGAGTTAAGCTGTTCTAGTAATAGCTTAAACGAGGTAGCAGCTGCTATAATAGCGTGCAATATCTCGTAATCTTTGCTATCTTCGCGCACGGGTTCGTTATTAGCTTAGAAAGTCGATATAAAATCTAAAACGCGCGAATAACGGTTCGAATTAGCGTAAGAGTTGTCTAAAAGAATTTCATTAATACTTACGTATATCTTTACGCGTTTTTTAATACGGCTATTAATAAGTGAATGCTCTTTACTAAAATCGGAATTTTATTTAAAGTGTTTATAATTTAGTTTCTTATTATCAGTGCTCGCTTTAAGAAAGTTTAAAAGCTTCTTTTTAACCGTTCGATTTGAATCTCCGCCGATTATTAACGTAAAAGCTTTCGATAGTCGGCTTATAGCTTGGCTTTCCGAGCTTCGGTTTTAAATAACAACTTAAAAGTATGATTTGCGCGCTCTTTTATTAAAGCCAGGTTTTTGCTCGTTTACGATGCTCTTCTTTGCTTTTAGCAGTCTTAAGGCACTTTCGCCTTTGCTCTTAGCTAAAGAGCTAGCAAGACGTTCAGCGGTGTAGTTCGAATCGTCAAGGTCTATTAAATCGTCTTGTAAAGCAATTGCTTTTAATATAAACGTATTTATAAGGTTTTTAATTAAAGTTAAAGCTTTTAACGTTTATACATCGCTCGGATTAAATAAGATCGCATCTTTTAAGCTTTGATTAAATCTTTTTAAATCAACCTTTATAAGGTCTAACGGCTGTTCACCTTTTATATCAATTGCATTCGTCTTTTTTAAACGATCCTTTGCAACGTTCTTTATGTTAAACAAAGCGTCTTTTGTTTAACTAAAGTTTTTAATATCTTTTAATTTAATAACGATGCTTTTAATCTCGTTAATCGGTTGGCCGATCGATTTTTTCTCGTTTTTAAAATAGAATTAAGTCTTATCGAACGTTACGTTGCGTATGACAATCATTTTATAAAGCGTAAGAACATAAACCTTATATATATTAAAAGTTATATATTTAATTAAGTAGCTTATATATCCTTTTAGTTTAACCTTAAAAGCTCTTTTATTGCGAAGAGCTTTTTAGTTTTTAATCATTAAGTACGCACGAGCGTTATACGCAACCAAACCGCTATAATCTAATCTTAAGTCGATATCGATCCGTATAAAGATCGCCGGATCGTATTATTTAAAATATTACTTAAACCAAAGCTATAGCACTTTATTCGGACTCTTTATAAAGCTTTTAACTTTCGGTATTATATTATAAAAGTAGATAACGGCTAATATAGTTTCAGGCCAAAGCTTTTTTAAAAGCCTTGCTTTTACTTTTATTTTAATAGACCGTTCTATTACCTTTTTCTTAGCTTTCTTAGCTCTTCTATTAAGTTCGTGATTAAAAGATAATAAAAGCTTTAACTCGATTTTAACCTCTTTCGCTTATCTTTGATATTCGATAAAGCCGATAACGTTAATTGCGATTATCGAAGAATCGTTATTATAGCGCATAATAGCTATTGAAAGACCGTATTTGCGTTTCGTTTATGCTTTAAATTCCTTTAGCACTTTTATAACCGTTAATTGCAACTTGTCTTTTAGTATAAAGCCGAATAGCTTTTTATTATATTTATCTTTAATTATTAATAATTATTTGCTTTCGTTAAAACCGTTAAAAAAGTCGAATAGATCTTAAGCGATTTTATAAAATAGCTTAGCTGCTTTATTATTTAACGTACGGCGAGATATAACTTATTAAGCGTACGTAATAGTATATACTTTATATTTAACTTTAATAATTCTTTTAAGTCTTACTTCTTTAGCATTATAAGCAAGCGCTTCGAGCGCTTTTTTGCTTAAATGACTTGTTCGTAAATGCTAAAGTATTAATGAATCTTTTTTTAAAGCTCGGAAAACATTACTTTTTAAAAATTTATAGCGTATTTGCAAGCGCTTTTAAGTTGTGAAGAATATTATTAAGCAAAAGGAGCTACGAATCAATTAAAGTAAAGAATAATTAAATAGCTTATATTTAAAAAACGTAAAGTTAAACTTCTTTTTTAATTTTTTTAACACGACGTTTTCTTTGACTTTTTTATAGCGAAGAGTTGCGTTATATCTCGAATACTATACGCTAGCTTTGCTTAAAAGAGCTTTCGAAATGATATTAATATTAAACTTTTTAACGATAGCGACGTTTTTTAACTTTAAATCCTTTGTTTTAGCTTTATTTAGTCCGTTTAAAACTCTTTTAAAGACTTTAATACTTCGCTCGACGATTAAAAAGCTATTCGTTTTAGCTTTGATAAAGTCGATTAAGCGAAAGCGTTAAATTAATCTTAGCTTTAAAAGATTTTTATCGTTAATAAAGTAAGTAACGCCGCAATTGTCGAAAAGAATGCTATTAAATAACTAATGCTTATTGTTAGCCGTGTTATAAAGACCGTTAAAAATAAGATTATCGAGCGTACTAAAAAGCTTAAGATCGATAATAGCTATTAACACTTTTTTAAAGTATTTTAACTTATCGCTATTATTCGATTGTTTTTCTTTGCTTTTTAAGACGATCTTATCGACTTGAATCTATACTTAATCTTCTTTCGTAATTTCTTTTCGAAGCGCTTTAAACTTAAGCTCTTAAAGCTTTTTCTTTATAGCGACGATATCATTTCGGTTCGGCTTTACGAATTTACTTTCGTTAAAACTATTAAAGCAATAACGAAAGATTTTATATTTGATTGCGTTTTAATAATAGTTTTTCTTTTTAAAGCACGAGCACTTAAAACCTTTAGCAAGTCTTTTAAAGTTATCGGAGCGTTTACCGGACTGCTTAAAAGCAATGTCGTTAGCTTTATTACTTTCGAAAGTGCTGCAAATAGTTTAATCTTCGAAAGTAACGAATACGTTAAAAAGATTAAAGTTCGGATTGCTAATCTTTTCTTCGACTTAGCTTTCGTACTAATTAAAGTAGTCGTAAAAGGTGCGCTTTTAAAGCAATGACAGCTCGTTGTTTCGAATAACCTTTGCGAGCTTTAACGACGCTTAAGTTAATAATTATTTTTCGTTAATAGCTTTTAAAAATGCTTTTATCGCGAGTGTATTCGTCGTTTCGTAAAGGTTGTTTATCTTCGCTAACTTATAAATAGCTCGGTGTTTTTTAATCTATACCGCTAAAAAGACGCTCTTTTGCTTAACTGCTTGCAAAGATTTGTTATAATCTTATGCTATCGATAGCTTAAAGCTCGAGTCGGATAGACGGCATATTTCTTAAAGCTTTTCTATTA